CGGCGGCACGTCGCAGAGCCCGCCGCCCGGCCCGGCCCGGCCCGCGTCCCACGCCGGCCCAGCTCGTCTCCGGCCTGCGCGGAGTGCTGGCCCCGTTGTTGGAAGAGGCCGCTCTCCGCCGGAGACGGGCAGCCCCGGCGCCAGGGGTTGGCCTCCGCAGAGCAGGCGCTGAGGCTGAGGAGCGGCGCTTGTCCCGTCTACGTGGCTGCGTGGCCCAGAGGTGCTCGTGGACGTTACTGGCCTTTATGCTGGCCTGCGCACTCAAGAGTGTGCGGGTGTGAGCCCCCGGGCGGGTACAAAGCCCTGTCAGTCGAATAATTGGGTAATGCAAAGATTTTTATATGCTGCCGATCTTTGCCGAGTGTTCTTGAATGAAACAGTAGAGCTTGACAAGGATTCAAATGTCTGTCCTGGTTTGAGGTCATAGGAGGGAAGGTATTGGCCAACCCTCTCTGCTTCCCTCCTCCCTCACCAGCAGGTTCGAGTTGTGTCTGTATGGTTTCACTGTAGAAATATTTTTATTCCATGATTGTCTTCTGACACTGTTACTTTGCAATGCGGTGTTACTTTGCAATGCGGGGCTCCCAAGCATCTGGATCCCTTTCTTGACTCTATGTAACTAGGGTTAAGAGTATTCAGTTTCACTTTTCCAGTATGTTGGAAACCCAAGCTATGGGTGTCCTAAATTAATTACACTTTTCCTTCTGGCTGTGCAGTACTGTAATGAGGTGTTTCAGATGATAGATTTCTGAAAGAGCAGTAAGCGTTTGTGGGGTGCTTTAGTCTCATTTGGCGGATCTTATCACATGAAAGTAATGGGGTTTAATGTGTATGTTCTTTTCTGCAAAATATTGTGTAAAGTAATTCCCATGGAATGAACATGGCAGTATATTAAGCAGCTGGGATAGCCTGCGTTCTCTCAGCTATCATGAAATCTGGTTTCAGCAAACCATATAAGATTGTGGTTTCTATTATACTTTTACCCTGTTTGCCTTCCCCTTCTCTATCACATTTTTTTAATTTCCCAGACATCGTTAATATCAGTAGAGTCACAGCTTGGTTATTTCATATTGTCTCTGGTTTCTGCTCTATATGTTAGTGGGCTATGAATTATGAATTTGGTTACCTCATGTACTACTTTACTTGGATTTTTGTCTTTTTTTTTTTTTTTTCTTAATGTTTCATATCTCAGAAGGTTCTTTTCAGTGTTTTTCTCAACATAGTTAACTTGGTTCTGGAAAACAATGCTGTTGAGTTCTGGAGTCATGACTCAGACTTTATTAATGACAGTCTGCACTAGAACAGCGTGATCTTCATTTTTTAGCCCTTTATTAGAGTTGCCAGTTTTTTTCTGCCACTAATTTGGCAGTAAGGTCTCGTTTTCAGTGCTTTATGCATGCTTTCAGACTTTATGCATGAAAGCACATATATTTTCTTTTTGTTGCTTAGCAAGTGGCAGTTGTTTTCCTTATTTCGGAGAACTGACTTGGGGCTCACCCTTATAACAGAAAACCACGTTAGAAAATAAGGCAAAAAGTTGTGTATGGGGAGAAGTACAAACTTCCAATTCTAGTCTGTCAGTGTATAGACTGTTGTTACACCTGTACAATAACAGTTTTTGCTTTATGCTCTTGGAGTTCAGAGTATCTTCAGCACATGGGCTGTTAGATCTTTCTCAAGTTACCAATTGACACATGGGCTGTCAGAGAAGTTATTTTTCACTTGCCTGTGCCCTTGGTCTTGAAGTTAAAGCTTCACAGCTTTCACTGGCTGAACATGTGAGCTTCAGGTCTAAGCTCAGATGTTTGGCCAGTTCAGCAACTAAAAGTGTTTGACTAGCATTGTAGCTACTATTAAACACTAATGTTGTAAATGCTGTAGTGTTGGGAGTGGGGTGTGTGTTTGCTGTTGAGGGTTTTATTTTTATAGACAGGACCAGCAAAGAGTTTTAAAATATGGTCTGTTAAAATTAACTTTGAATCCTTCAGGTAGTTTGTTGGCACAGATACAGTGGATTATTTTAGATGTATATTTATACTGTAGTGTAGGCAGTGTCTTGCTGCACCTCCTGCTAGTTAAATTTGGGGGCATAGAGACTCCTATATTATGCATTGTTGTGCCATTTTATTAAGCACTTGATTTAAAAATCTTCATTACAACTTCTTCAGCCTTTTTCATCTACTGCATACAGAATCATAATTCTTCCTGAATATGTTGTACTTCATAGGTTTTCTTTGTGAACAGAAGCCTTTACCTGCCTTGCCTCTTTTGAATTTAGTTAAGGTTTTTTTATGCTTGAATGCAAAGCAGTTCGCTGATAACTCTGAAATTTCTATGTATTCTTCCTGTTTCCTGTTCATTAAAGATTTTTCTTGCAGAAGTGTTCACAGTAGAAATAGTGTGTTGCCACCTCAAGGTTTTATTTTTGGTACCCCGAAGAGACTTGTATTTTCACTGATATCCCACTATTGTTGCATACATAGCAGAAATACTTTCTTGTTCAAGAACTCTTTGGTGCACTTCAACAGAACTTGAAAAACTTAATGTTTTCTTATATGTGGTTCCTGGTGTTGCCATCTTTCTCATATTTGTCACAACATGAAAAATATTTGTAAGATTTCCTCCCTGCTCCCCTTAGAAACTTGGTGTTTGTTACTCTTTTAAGATTAGCAGGACATGAAGTTTTAGTGTGTTAGAATAAAGGTTGAGCCGTAGGCTCAGCAAACAAAAGACATATAAGATTATGGCTTTATATTTTTACTAAAATTCAAATTCCAGAATTTGTAGCCTATCTTCTGTGGAGCAGACCACATGTTGGTCAGGTAATGTTAGCTCGATGCTTTGCAGAACACTCCAGTGTGCTGGTATCTGGTCACTGAAAGCAGACTACTGATGTAGGTAGGTACTTGTTGCATGTCCAGTGGCAGTCTTAACAGCGGATGTGTGAATAAGCTCTGGGGAAACCTCAGCTATTCCAAAGAGGGAGATGGAAATGAAAGCAGCATAATGCATATTTTAAAATCCTGTTATAGTTCTTCTAACTTAAAGCACAGCTCTAAACTAAGATACTTTCTTTTGTCAATGTAAGTTCTCTCAAGACAACCAATGCCTAAATTGAATTTATTTTCTTGGCCTGTAGTTGTTTCCTTACTGTGCTGCATCTTTTCTGTTTACCTTCTGTCAGAATCTGAAAATAAGATGCTGCACAGGTGCTACATCTGTTGTTAATGTTTGCAGACAGACCCATTTTTTCTTAATTTGTAGTCTGTGGAGCATTCAGACTTTCTTACTCAGTCGCTTTCTGAGCATGCCTGCTTGCTGCTTTAACACAGTGAGGTCCTTTACCTGATTCTCTAATATGAGGCAAAACCAAAGTAACTGCTGTTGAAAAGTTGGTAGAATCAGGATTTGCACAGTGCCATAATTAGTTGATGACTCCAGAGCAGTGGCTGATTTAGTGTAGAAGTGCTGCAAGCTGCGTCTGTCGTGAGAAGCCGGATGGCAACTTTACAGAGCAGTGCTGGTCCTAAGCTGTACTCTCTGGCAGAAAAGGGGAGTGAGCTGGGTAAAAACACAGGGGGAGAGTATGAAGTGTCTGAAGGATGGGTCTAGTTAACTAGCTGAGAGAGTTGCAGTGCTGCTTCATTCTCTCCAATGTCCTGTGTTTGGCAGGTTGTTAGCATGTGACGGGGTAAGAACAAGAGTATATGGTATGAATGGTCAGTGCACATGACATCAGCTAGTACTTAGGTGCCCAGCACAGGCAGGGTGGGAAATATATGGGTGAGGAGAGCAGAACCACCCTGTTCTTTGGTAGCCCCAGATCCTAGCTCCTTCTGTTTTGTTGCCTTTACCCTATTGTCTTTATGTCCAGTGTTGTCTTTCACTAGCAGGTAGCACAAGGCCATAAATTGTCATCACATGGCAAGCATTTGATCCCAAAACTTTTCTTGTGTTCTTGCATATATTGTAATTGTTGATGAATGAGGTGTGCTGAAGTCTGCCAGCTCATGTATGCCCTGGAAATGAAAAGCTACAAACGTTGCTTCTTGACTGCTCATTGTAAGCAGTACAATGAGCCGGAGATACAAATTGTCCATGATGTGTCCTTAGAGTATTAAGAATGATTCATTTCTGAGAAATACTGTTACTGGGACAACAGTGGGACTTCAGAAAGTTATTTTCTGCTGGACATGGACTTGGAAGTGTTAGTTTTCCAGAACCTTAACTATCATATGCCATGACATGTAAACTGAGCCTACATCCAGTAGCTTTCCTTTGTTTTTTATAGTAGGTGGGTAAGCAACTATGGCTTCGTGCAGTTATCCTGAATTTTGTGCTATGGTTCCCTGTTTTTACAGACCCTGTGTCAGTATATGAGATGGAATACCTGCTGTCTCTGTGTGGCACAGCGCTTTAATGACTGATTAGAATGGTGAATTTGCTTTTGACTTCTGTAGCACCTCTGGCAAAAAAAACCCCACAACAGGTCAAAGGTGGCTTAGCAGCATTTAGAAACTCTTGCATCAGTTTCTATCTTTTGTAGGATTCTGAATCAAATGGGCAACGGATCTAGTTTTCATTCTATAGAACTGGAAAAAATAAACGTGGTGTAAATTATGCTTGCAGATGGCAAGTGTGGTCTTGCTTGGCAAGCAGGAAAGACCTATGAACGTAAGCTTCTCGGGTACATATTATTCCAAACTTAAAATTTTAAGTAAGTTTGTTAAAAAGTAATACTTAAATCATACAAACTATTTTTTTCTTACTTTCTCATTCATTTATAGAAAACAATTGTTCACTGAGTGCTTTTACAATGATAAATTTCCTTAGGCAGTCATGCTTATGATTTGAAGCCTTCAAGGAACTTAAGGATGCCACAGATGGATAAATCTGGAAACTGTTTTTCTTAGAACTAGCTTTAAACTATTAAGATGTCTTCAAACCTTTTGAGTAATTCTGATACACAGCTACAAGACAGGATTAAAATTTGAGTCATTTTTAAAGTTCTTGAGCTCCTCTCAAGGTTACATCTTCATTTGCTTTGGTTGTGTTGGTGTGTGCTTTTGACAAACACTCTTCTTTTTTCATTTCTGTTTTTGTTGTGGGACCATCGGGGTCTGGCTTTCATGTAATAACATCTAAACCTGAGCAACATGCATGTCTGTGGACAGTTCAACAGATGTTTGTAAATAGGTATAGAAGAAAACAAACCAGCCATTGTTTAAATCTTTGATTAGACCTTTCATGGCTGGACAACTTATTTAGCTGCAAGCGTCTAAGCAACATATAGTGCTTTTTTCCCTAGGGTTCTATTTCCATGACCAGTGGCTTGACTGTGCAGAGCACAGGATTCTTACTGGGTGGATGGGTGGAAGGGCTGTAATATCGGGGTGAGCAATACTTTGGGTTTTGATAAAAATCCTAGTGACATGGTGACTAATCTAGTCACCTGTGGTGTGCACTTATGAATATGGAACTTGGCTTTTTTTATGATGGGTTTATTGATGTTGTGTAGACCTAGAGGAAGAGCAATGGCTCTACTCATATGAAAAGAAAATTAAGGATTGAGCTTGACATTACCTACTTCACACCTTTGAAAAAGAGACCAATAATGAATAGTACAAAACCAAGGTGAGCCAGTAGCATGTTTTCCTGTCTCTTAATAAAATAAGCATAATTGTCTAACTGAACAGATGACGTTCTTTAAAACTCTTGAATTCTTTCTCACAGTGGATAATGAGGCCTTTCTAGATCACAGACCTCCATCATTGAAGGCAAAAAGTTATCAAGGTTTAAAGGAGAGTGGGTTGCTTTCCTATGTAGGATGTGTTGACAGGTAATACTGATGCAGGTTTTGGTTGGGTTTGGGGGGGGTTATAGTTAATTTAACTGCTAGTGAGGGTAAAAGGGTCTCATTGTCCTGTCCTGCTCATATCTGGTTCATTCTACTGTCTACATACACACCAGGATCTCACTACATAGAATTTGCGTTCACACCTTACACAAGTCCTTAGTGTTTTAATGATGCTTCTGATCATCCTCCAACATTTGCTGTCCTCCCACATATTATTTCAAGTTACTCATTTTACATGGTCAGCAGTAACTTACTGTTTAGGCAAGCAGCAGCATATGCTGCTATTACCTGGTTTTGAAATGTCTATTTTCCTGGCTGCTTAGAGGTCCATCCATGTATGCTGACTGACCAGGCATTTGCCTGACTGTTGGGTTGCAGAGGCGCCTTTGGGCCACATGGTGTGTGGGGTTGAGATATACAGTGTTATAGCTGTTATACAGTTGTCTACTGATGGATGTTTTTTACTCAAATTTAACTATTGGTATACTGTCCTTCAATTTGATACTTTCCTTAGTACTTATTACTTGTATGTGTATTTAAATGTTACTTTCCCTCTTTGAATTGACTAATAGCTTGCTGGTGCTGTAATACCAGAAAACAAAAATCTGTCACAAACTACATTTTACTGTAACGTGCTATAAGAATACTTAGTAGCATTTTTGAATTTTCAACGTGCTAAGAACGTTGTGTGGAATATAGTCTGCTCAGCGTAGCTGATCCTCAGGTGCTACCACTGTAAAACCATATTCTCAAAATCAGTTTATTCCAATTCAGTTACGGAGTTATCTTACAAAGTACTGCTGAATAGAGCAGCTTAATATTTCAGATAATTCAGAGTTGGTAACTTCCAAAATGTTTTATATTGTTAAAGCACTTCCTAGATAATACTTTGTAAGATTAATGATATACCTTTCTTCCAATTAGTTAGATTATTGTATTGTCTAGACTCTCATCTATGTGTGACAACATTTTTCTTTGATGACACTAAAAAATTGCACTTTTAAAGCTCAGTTGTATGAAATATCATATAACAGTTGGAAAAAATAACTCCAAGATTGTATATCTTGTTGGATAAGAACAAATCCTAGCAGCTTGGAGAAGTTTTTCTCTTGAGTAACAGTAGGAAGGAAATAAGCTACATTGTGGTAACTCCACTGTTTTACAGATGCCTTCCAAACTATTGAGCATGTTCTCGCTTCTTTGGTTTTATTGCCTATTTTGGTGGAGCACGGGGCAGGGACCTGGATCTGTTATGAAAAGTAATGTCGAATTTTTAAGTTGCGTGACATCTGTGGCATTGGGAACGTGTTTTCTTCTCCTGCGTGTTGTGGTTTAAACCTGGCTGGCAGCCACTTGCTCACACTCCCCCACCCCTGGGTAAGGGGTAAGGTAGACTCATAGGTTGAAATTAAAAAAAATTATTAATGGAAATAAAATTAAAACAAAAATTATAGTAATAATAGTATTAATAGAAAATACAAATGGGTAATGCACAGTGTGATTGCTCACCACCTGTTGACGAGTGCCCAGCCCATTCCTGGCTAGTAATCCCAGAGAAGACACAGTCCTGAAACCACAATCCTGGAAGCTGGAGTGAGCTTCCCAATCAACTTTCATCTATAAACTGAGCATGACATTATAAGATGCAGAATATTCTATTGACCAGTTTGGGTCCACTGCTTTGGCTGTGCTCCCTCCCAGCTTATTGTGTCCCTCTGCACTAGCATGGGAAGTTGAAAACTCCTTGATTTCTTAGCAGCAACTAAAACCATGAGTACATTATCAACAGTCTTCTCCTATCAAATTCCATACTGAATCCAAAACACAGCACTATTCTAGCTACTAAGGAGGAAAAAAACCCTAGCTGTATCCCAGCTGAAACCAGGACACTGAAAGGGAAAGTTTGATCTTCTGAGATGAATGGATAGAAAATAATAAAAACAATTATTAAATTGCATACCTTCTACATTGAGAAGGTGTACTTTGTGATACTAATATTATTGACAGAAATGCGCTTCTACCAGTATAACTCTGATGCAAATAGTTTCTTCTGGAACAGGTGTCCCAATGACTGATCACTTTGGTTCATACTTCTGACTAATGGTGGTGATAGATCAGGTCCAAATAGCTAGAAGATAAAATTCAAATAAATTCCAAACTTGCCTTGTTTAAATAGGGACTGAATTTAAAAACAGGTATTGGTAGAAATAGAGGGACAATCTTCTTTGATAGAAAAAGCTGTAATAGAGAAGAAGGACAGTTTTTAGAAAACAGCTGTAACTGAGGAGAGGAAAGAAGCCTTCCAGTATTTGAAAGGTAACCATGCTAATAATCCTTCAAGAGAGAGGTTATACTAAGAGACCTCTAGAGGCTTCTTCCAAGTGATATTTCTATGATTAAACAGGACACTTCAGAAATTTGTTGCTTGTGTAAAGGGAAGAGAAATTTAAGTAGTAAATCTACAACAGAAAGGACAAGTTAACTGGATTTCATTGCTGTTTTTAAGCCTGTATTCTTGTCTGGCTAGTTAAGCTAAACTTCTAGTTTACCTAAACTTCTACTTTACTGGCCTGACTGCAAATAATGATGATTTTAAAAACCTGAAAAGTGGGTAAGTTGAGAAAAAGAGACAATAATATTTTAACATCAGAGAAATATAATATGTCTCTGATTAGTTAAGAATTATTAGGTTTTGCTTTTCAAAATATATATTTCTTAAGGCAGCGTTTGTAACAGTTGTTAAAATTTTACTGTTGCTATTTGACATATTTCACTTACACAAAATCTAAGTTAGGGACTTTTCAGAGTTGTTTAAAACTGTTTACATTGTTTATAGAACTCTTAAGAGTGTGTATAGTATGTAGCTTTGAAGAGCCTGCTGAATTTTGACAGACAAGAGTTCTTTTTTTAAAAAAAAAAGCATGATCAGAACACTGAAGAGTTTTATAAATGCTTAAATGCAAAATTTACGTGGGCAGTGTGTACTCCTGCAAGCCTTTCATCTGACTGTCACATACTGTACGTTTGAAATGGAACCTTTGCCATTCACCCTGAATGTAGGATTGGACCATTATTTATTCTAAAGCTGCAGTTTTTTAATTTCTGTTATACACTAGACTGCCCAGGTTTAACTTAAATCAAGGTTATAATTTCAACATGCTTAAATGGCAAGTGGAGGAAAGGCAGGCCGTGTAAGAAAGCCTTTTAATGTTTTAAAAGCTGTGTGGTATTTCCATATGAACCTTTGCCTGCTGATTTGAAAAGTACTAGATACTAAATGCATTATTGTGATTTACTGGTGAAGTAATAATAGTATGTTGCTTAGAGAGCAAGTTTAACAAGTTCCATTTTCTATTGTTTCTTGATTTAAGTGAAAGACTGACATCTTGAGGGTAGGGAAGAAGGAAAGGTAACAAAGCCCCTAACAAGGTAGAGGTGTTCATTTCAACTTACATAGGTGAGTCAAAATGATAATGAGTACCACAGGAAAGGGAAACAATTTTAAAATCTCATTTCTTTTTATTTCAATATCCATTTTGTTATAGGTTTTATATGAGCAAGAAGGAGTTTTCATTCATTCATCCTGCGGCAAAAATGATGACCAGGACAGCTTAATATCAGGAGTATTACGTGTCATAGAAAAGGTATTTGCATAATACAGTTATGGAAACTTCATATATTTGTTGGCAAACACATAATGTGTTTGGCAAGTCTTAAATGCCTTTTTAGATAAAGGGGTTCGTAAATGAACAAACATCACGTAATGTTTCACATCATCTGCATCATTTATATATATGTGTAAGTTGTGCCACAATTATACCATGAACAAATAGGGGGATATGTGCTTTGTTGTGTAGTATTGAATTTTTTTGTGATTGTGTTGTAGGAAAATGAAGTAATAGTAGACTGGAGACCACTGGATGATACTTTGGATACTTCTAATATCCTCTGTGCTGGAAAGGTATATTTGTTAGTTATTGGTGGTGTTCATTCTGTTTCTCCAGAGATTTTATTTTGTGTTAATTTATGCATAGGTGATCTCATAACTGGATGCAAAATCTATTTATGTGATTATCATTGTTATTAATAGCTACATGTAGGAATTATATTTATGGACTGCAGCCCAGTTCAGGTTATTTGGATACATGTGTAGGTGACTGTATTTAGTTTTTATTTGGTTCATAGGTAAAATAGAAGGGGACTATCTGTATGAATAGTAAAGATCAAATGAGTGTAAGTGTATCAAGGTGACGAGTGCCCCTACATCTAATATGTTGTAGTCTGGTGATTCACTCTTCATAATTAGACTCAAACCAGAGAGGTACTGTTCTAATGCAAAATACAAATAGAACTCTATGGGGGTTCCAAGATGGCGTCATATGTGGTATTTAAGCAGTGTTAAGGGGATGTGACTAAAGAAGAAATATTTAAGTTTTACACTTAAATAAAAAATTTGTTATGTTGGTGGAATCTGCAAGAGAGGCTAGGATTTTTTAGTACCATGTTGAATTTATTAAGTAAAACTTCTTTTCTTAGTATTAGTCATAAGTCCAAATTTCCTGTGCTGAACTGTATCAGGTTTCTTAGGATTTAATAGTACATATTCTTTTAATCTGTGAAAATGAAGATACTTATTCTTTTTGTTGAATTTAAGAAACTAGCTCAGTTTTCGTGCCATGTGTTTTTTGATAGTTGCTTTTTTTTTTTTTTTTTTAAACTCAGGATTCCAGTTCTGTTGTGGAGTGGACTCAAACTCCTAAAGAAAAATGTTCCCGAGGAGCAGACCGTCCAAGCAGTTATGAAGCAGAATGGGACATGGTCACCACAGTCTCCTTTAAAAAGAAACCTCATTCAAATGGAGGTACTTAAAACAAAAACCCCACAATTATTTTCTGTTTTTTTTCCTCATGGTAACTTGTAACTGAAGAATTGCCTTTTAGATCAGTAAAATGGATTTTATAAGGAATTGTAAAGCTGGCAGTTGTTTGTGGTAAGAGGTGAATCTCTGGGTGTGGAAAAAAATTCAGAATGGAATAGCTGCCATCTGCCTCCAATCTATTTTTTGTTTCTTTAAATTACTAGAGAATTGTATTGAAAATAAATGCTAAATCTAACTTCTTGCTGTGATGATCATTAGATGATGTTGCAATTCCATCTGCATTAGCCTCTTGCATTCTTTTAAACAAATGGAATTTGAACTCAGTTGTTGTGTTAGGAAAATGAAAAAATAAGTGGTTTACTAAAATGCCTTTCCATACTGAAACAGCAGGGGGAGATGGAATATACAGTTATGTGGTACATGAGTCTTTTTTTATATGATGTTCTACAGCAAATTAATTTTTATAGTTACATCATTTTTGTAACAGTGTCTCAGTAGAGATGATGTGGAAAAAAAAAGTGAAGGAGAAAGGACAATGATTGTCAAATAATCTTTTTTTTTTTTTTTTTCTCTGATTCTCCCCTAGTATTTATCTTTATAATACTTCTTTTCCCTGTATTATTTCTCAGCCTATAACTGGGGACTGTTGTGCTTGTTTCATCATATCTGTGATGGTTTTAAATGTCATGTATCAGTGCAGGGTTTGGATTTAAGATTATGAATGCTTTAGGGTAAAGCACAGTCCTTGCTTCTAGAATACTGTGTTTGAGAGTTTTTAGTGCTATCGTGATACAAAGCTAAAACCATCATCTCTGTTTGGCATAGGGTGGTTTATTACAGCAGTGGTTTGTATTGATTTTTCATCCTGAGGCCTTGGAGTACAACTTCAACCAATATGAGTGTCAGTGAGCACTACTGACTTGCATTATGCCCTTTGACACTTCTTGTTCCCAGTTGCTGTAATTTGATGGGGATGGGCCAGGGAGCCTGCCCTATTCCCTCCAGGCATGCTGGCAATTTTGTGTCCTCTGGTGAAATAAAATGTAATCCCTCCTCTTGGAATGTATACAGTCATGCCCAGTGTGTATACACACTTGCACAGCATGGGAGAGGGTGATGGGTGGGGAGACTTTAAATTGCTTCACCCTTATTGTGATAGCAGTCTTGGAACACATGGCTAATACTGTGTGCAATATATGGCCTCCAGTATTGTAATGTATATCACATTTAGTTTGTTTAAGTAGTACTGCACGGTGGGGATGCTGGTGGGATTCAGCCTGCTGAAATTTGGTGCAGCAACTAAGCATTTAACTGCTGGATCACTTAAACTGTAGGCAGAGCTTTAGGGGAGCAGTCTAATGGACTTACTCATTATTTTAGAAGTCTGTAGAAGATGAGGAAGCACAAAGAATAATCCAAGAATAGTAGTTACAGTAGTTATGGTACACATTTTGTTATCAGAACCAGTGCTGGGTTTTGTGATTTGGGTTTTTTTTTAGGAACAGTGACAGATATGATGCATTGCTAACACTGGAAGTCAAACTAAAATCATGTGGTAATTTTGTTTTTAAGATGCTACAACTCATGCAAATGGAGAAAGCAAGTGGTCGTTCCTGTTCAGTTTGACAGATCTGAAATCAATCAAACAAAACAAAGAAGGCATGGGATGGTCTTATTTGGTGTTCTGTCTGAAGGATGACGTGAAGCTTCCAGCTCTTCACTTTCATCATGGAGATAGCAAACTATTGATTAAATGCCTTGAAAAGCATGTTGTGCTAAATGAGTAAGTATTAGACAACTCTTGGTTCTGATTTAAAATATGGATTATTGATTACTTTTTAAATTCTGTAATGAATTTCAGATTAATGCTTCCTGATGTATTTTCTCTTCCCTTGTTTATTGGTAGAATCAATTTTCAAGGTGTCGGAAACTGAAACTTCACGTACACACTGGGATGTAGACTGAAGTTTTAAAATTGTTGGATCTGTTCATGAAATAGTTTAGAATTGGTTGAAGTGTTATTAGCTCTGTAATACCTCAGTAGCTTCCTCTAGCGGGTACAGAAACTTCTTATGAATGCTCAGTGTAAAGTCAAATCCTTCATGAACCACTTCTGTCAAGATGTGGTGTTGGAGTCCGTGATAAGCAGAATTCAACTACTTGGAGAAGGTAGCATGGTCAATGTGACCTGTTGGTGAAATGGTACTGGCTGTAGCATTGTATGCAAGCTTTTTAAGGGGAAAATTCAAGACCAATGGAGAGGCTATTAGGGTGACAAGATAAAGGTGTAAGAATGTTCTTGGTACAACTGTAGACAAGGAAATCCTGGATGACAACTTCATCTTAAATCCTGAGGGTTTTTTTCTCTAGGTTCCCTTTGAATTCTTCCTTAAACCTCCTTTCATTTCTTTTTGTAATTTCACTACTTCTGCAGGTATGGGGGATTATTGTTGTCCTGCCATCCCCTTGCCTCCCTCCCCTCTTTCCCCCCAATGAAATTTTTCCTTTTTGAGCATATTGCTCTGTGTTTTATTTTCGGATTAGTTGCTGGTAGGCTAGGGCAGATTTTTGAGGCAACTGATATAGAAAACACTGGAAAAACACCTGTGTTGTATGGTGAGTTGTTGAAAGCCTTATACCCTATCTATGTGTGATCTGTTGCCTGTGTACTGCAGCAATTTATTTCTAATTTTGTAACTAATTCCCATAATGTGTATTTAACAAACAGGACCAAGTTCTAAGGAGGCATAGAGAGTACTTTTGACAGTGTAGAAAACGGGTTTGCATTGACTTAATCAAAACTTTGTTCTTGTGATTAACTGTCAACTAGAAACTTTAAAATTTTAGATGAATATTTTCCCTTATGCCTTCTTTCCAGTTAGTCCACTTGAGGCTTTAACAAAAGCAATCTAAATCTGATGAGTTAATGCTGCTGGTTTTTTTTAACTGCCACTATTTAAAAAGCTTATTATTTGAATATATGTATGTGTGTCTCTGTGCAGTAAGCAACGAGACAGTTGATAACTAAAATGCAGTACTGGAGCTACAGATCTGTAGCTATGCTTGCATTAATTTTGATGGAGTTAGTGTATTTAATATTGAGACCTAGACTAAGCTTATTTTATATTTCATATTTTTTGCTCAAAAGTGTAAAATAGGAAAATACTGTTCTGCTATGTAACAAGTTATTTTGTCTTTTTATATTCAGGAAGTTTTTTGTATCTTTTGACTTCATGGTTGAAAATTTTTTTAAAAGAAACAGGTACCTGAACTAACATACTGGAATACCTTAGACCATGTTATGAAGTTGGACAGTTAACCTCCTATAAGTCAGACACCTAGGTTCTGTCCAGCATTTAGTTGTCAGTTTGTTACTGTGCATAATGTTAGACAGTTTGTGTTACTAACAGGCATTATTTCTGGTTTTGTTGAGTCATGTGCTGCAAATAATTATACTTCACATTGCTATGTAAAAGTAGTGCTTACTGGTGAGTCACTGAATGAAAATGAAATAGGTAGTGATTTTGGTTCCTTTTTCAAACTGTCTCTTTCAAATAGCTTGCAGTAAGTGAGTGGACATTTATCACACTTCCTTTATTTGATCTAATGGATTCTTAGTTCTTGTGCTTTCTAGCCTCTTGCCAGGTGATGTGGCATTCCTCTTGGGACAGTGCAAAACAGTAGCTGTTGGGGGGGATGGGGGGGGGGGGAACTCTGTGAAGAGAGGCAGTCATGCCCTTGTGTCTGTCTTTAAAAGAAGGCAGTGGTGTAGGGTTTGTGCAGTCTGACCCAGTAGCTGTACATTGGGATGTCCAGAAACGCTTACCAGATGGAGTTCCCCGATAAAGTAAGGCAGGCAAACTTGTGATATTCAAACATTCTGGATGTGCTGAGCTGTGTAGTACTTCTACCTCAAATAGTTCTAAGTGTTGATGAATGCAACAACAGATACTTTAGGAACTTTAAAACAGAAGGGTGAGGCAGCTATGGAAATTAAATTTGAATAAAGTTAAACATTGAGCTGAGCAGGAACTTCCAGTTTTAGTTTTCTTACTTAGATTCTTCTCTTCCAGTTAAGGTCTGCTTCTGGCACCAAATTATTTTTTGTGGTCTAGTCATGAATTGTGATGATTCTTTTATTCTTAAGGAAAAAGAACAAGTATGCTGCATAAGTTGTGGAAATGGCAGATTTAATTTCTCTTGTTTCCTAATGGTTATTTATGCTTTGGTACATGATGTATCTAAGCTCACAACCTCTTCTAGGAAAGGATGTTTACTCAGCTTTCTGGATGCCACAAGGAAATACTTGGCAGCATCATTACTTGTTATCCCAACCTATAGTTTATAATACATGGGATCTTGATGTTAAGGCAAATTTAGCTTTTCTTTGAAATATCTGTCATAGGTATTTTTTCCCTCTGTTCCTGTTACCTCAAAAAATTTTGCCCTTTTCTGACACCATTTCTTATAAATTGTCATGTCATTGCTGAAATCAGTGTGTGTGAAGTGGCTAAACTTGAACAAAATGTTTGTAATTTGTTGCTTTAAAGATTTTGTGTTTCGTAGTTTGGTGGCACCAGTCTAATATTGAGAAAACACAGTGTGTACAGACGACACTTTCTAACTTGCAAGATTATGAGTAAGTGTAATAAAGTGACTAGCTCACAAATTTGTTTTGAAGATCACTACGCTAGCTGCTGATACCCAACTGGCTGTCCAGAGAGAATGTTTAATTAAAATGGAGATACGGTACAAAGTTTTCATTCTTTTAGTTAAGGGAAACATAATACATGACTCAGCCTTTGTCCTTGTACTGTTTTTTAACAAAAGCCAATTGAGCTTCATTAACCATTGCTGCCTCAAAACTATGACTGTGATGTCTGGCTGTCTCAAAATGAGATCTCTTGTTGCATTTCATATCCGTCAGTGTTAACAGTTTCTGTCCTGTTGGAATGGAAGAGAGATAAGGCATATTAAAGTTCTTATCTTTGACTTTAATAACATGGTAGATGATGCAGGTACTAATAAAAATAAAAGTAATTTTTCTTTCAAAGACTAAAAGTAGTGGATTTAAACTTTGGGAGAGAGCAGTAGAGAGGTATCTTATAAATGTGTGTGATGTATGAGAGTCAGATGACAAAGTGCTTGACTTTCTTCTGCCTAGCTACCAACTCTGAGGCTTGAACGTCAGCCTGTCTTCTGGGCTGTTCTCTTGTCACATACTGAGCTGCAAACTGGTGATTCAGGAGCTGGTTAATGAATTGATGGGGTAGACGTGCTGGAGGATGGGAGAAGATGGGATGTTGCAGGAGAGGGAGTGAGAGCAAAAGGACAGACTAAATACTAGGAGCAGCACAGTTCCACTGTCTTCATTGTTATTGTTTTCATATGCCTGTGCAAGCCTGTCAGAGAAGCAAATGTTATTTTGAAGAACGAGAGTGTACAAATACAGTGAGTTAGGCCAAATTGGGTTTGTGTTCATTTAGCTGTTGGAGTCTACACAGAAATACATTTGCAGGTCTGTACTGAGATGGTTCTGTTTCACAATACAATGGCTGTGGTGTTTTTTAAGCTCCTGTCAGTATGAATCTTAGAATTCTTGTGACAGTAGCTGTTGTAATACTGTTGGTTTAAAATTTGTTAATGTGCTTTCATACATTGAAAAGCAGTTTGTATTCCTTTATGTAATGTTTTACAGTGTATCTTAATATTAGATTTACTAATTGGTAAACAGAATTCCTTAACTGTATGTGGTGACACAGGCTCTTTTCACTTTCCCTGTTATGTTAAAGGAGTGTCAGTGTATATTGTGTTGAGGCTGACCACGTCTCACTAAATTTTATTTGCTGTGTCACCTCTTTTTTTTGTCTGTTTTCATAAACAGAAAACTATAGTTGAAGAAAACTTTATTTACATGTGGGTGACAAAAGGTACCTTCCCGAGGAATTTCTCAAAAGGATGATGATTTTTTCAAAGAGTGAAAGAGTATGATTCAGAATGAGTATGATGACGACTAGTATTTTGAAAAATTAAAGTCCTGTTTTGTAGTGTGTTAGCTTGGGAACTTGTGCCAAGAACTAAGAGTGATCTTGCATCAAACCTATCTTCTTTGCACAAAACCTGAAATGTGACTTTAAAAAACAGTAAACGTTCTAAAAAAAACATTTCCAGGGAAAACTGGTGGTACTTACAGAAACCCTTTTAAAATTTTATTGCAGATCTCCACAGGATAAACGGATTCTTCTTGTGAATTCTCAGAACAAGTCTCTGTCCCAATCTTTTGAAAATCTCTTTGATGAACCATCATATGGCTTATTACAAGTACGTATTATCTTTGAATTTTTTATTCTGAAGAAGTTTATTAAAAAAACCCTACCCTACCATGTCACACAAATATTCCCTGAATCATTGCCATTGTAGAAGCATTGATTGTATCCTATAACAAATGCTTACTATAGAAAGTACACTTACTTACCAGTTGCTTTCTGTGTTCTAATAATTCTTAACTTCCCCATGGTACTATTTCAAACCTATTCATGTTAATGTTGTCTGTGATTCTATACATTTGGGTACAGATAATTTTAGAAAGGAGAAGGAGGAAAAAATTTTAGGAGTTACCAGAACATATTAATTAGGATTTTCTAAATTTTCCTTGACTAAATATTCTTTTCCTTAGTATTTTCTGACACTTTGGAAGGGATGCTGGAAATAGAGCAGCAAAGAGCGCAATATTGCCTAAAGGAGGTGTGTTTTTTATGCTAAAACTGCTTATCATTTGGTGGGGTTTGTGGTCTCGTGAAAGTCAGCAGCAAAATTTCCAGTTACTTGAATGAGGCCAGAGATTTGACCTACTGATTTCTTTTAATTAAAGAAAAACTTCGAGTGAATTACATTAGTTTCTGGACTTAGCTGATAAATCAAGTTTTGTGTGAGATTCCTAGCAGAGTATGTGATGATTCAAGATGTGTTTTTTCTATTAAGGTAGAGAAGCAAGTAATAAGGAAGATGTTTTGTGACATTAATCACTAGAAAGTAAACAGTAGATCTGATCTACTTCTATATGCAGGTCAAGCTTACTAAGCACACTGCTATCTGATCTTTCCAATCAATCAGTAGTATTATTGTAATACTTAAGATACCTCTTAAAAATCATATAGTGAATGTACTGTATCAAACTACTGATACATGAAACTCCAGTGACTTGACTTTGAGATCTACAATACCTTTCCTGTTGTTTTGATTTCTTTGAGTACAAGAATTCCAAATAATCTTTTTTTTGTATGTTACTTGTTTTTCTTGTTATAACACAGAAATTGAAGAAAGATCCATACACAGTAACAATGGGGAGATTTTCCAAAGTCACAAACTACATTTTTGACAGTTTCCGTTTAAGTGACCCTTCAAGTCAAAGGCGACCACCATCGGAAATGGCAGACTTTCTCAATGATGCTATTCCAGGGCTGAAGATAAACCAGCAGGAAGAACCAGGATTTGAAGTCATTACACGAGTGAGTGTAAATGAATATAATACAGATGCGTTGATTCTTTTTATGCAGACCTTTAAAGGCAAGGTAGGACTTGAAGCTCGGTGAGTTACACTGTTTATGTTTGGCGATTTTGGCATATGCTGCCCTACCATTTGATCAGAGAGTAAGATCATCATCAGCCTCTTATAGAAAATGCTGGTTTTATGCACGCCAATGTAAGTTTTGCTTTGAAAGTAAGTTCGTCAGTACTGGAATGGTGATTATGGTTATTTTAGGCTTACTACCCTGAAAAGTGACCTGTTTCATGTTTAGTGTTTCTTCTGTGGTCAGATAGAGCTATGTTAAGTAAAAGTGGGGTATGCAGATTAGCGACAAACTTTCTTGGCTAATCACTTTATCATTTTGGTTTGATTTAAGAGGGCCAAAAAGATTAAGGGCCAAAAAGATTAAAAGAAAGTATTTAATTGGATGATTAATGTCTAGGGTGTATAAATGTACAGATTTATGTATGACTTGAACCAAAGCTAGAATGAACTTATAATGGGATTATGAATCCCTTTGAGATCCTGTTGGCATCTTACAGATTGGTAGAAGTAGTTTATTTTTAAATGCTTGTGACTACTGTCTAAGCAGCTGACATGTTTTTAGAGTGTTAAACTGTTTTGAATGTTATTTTTTTCTTGAGTTCAGAATAGTGTTAATATCCTAGCAGTAGATGTTTGAACCTTATAATTCTAAGAATTTACTGACTAGCACTTAATTAGTTAATTTATCAGTGAGAAAAAGTATAACAAATGCTACATACTGAAAACAACACTGATCTGTATGTCTTAATCTGGCAAATGCCTTAGGCTTCTAAAGAGTTGAAACACAAATTGACTTGGTGGTTGTCATCATCAGATTATTTTTAGAAAGCAAGGAGTTGCTCTCTGCTGATTTCTGCTGGGCTTAAACATGCAATTTGGGAACTGAGAGAGACTAACCACAAACCGTGAAACTTTGGTGGGTGTTAGGAGTTCTGAAAGCACATACAATCTTGGCTGCTTTTTTTTTTTTTTTTTTTTTTTTTTTTTTTTTTTTAACGGGCTATGTACTTAAATTGATCTTTCAGTTACACTGTGCAGTCTGTGTGGGCATAGCATCTCTGAACTCAAGTAACTTTTCAGTTCTCTCTTAAGATGCACTAATGTGTATCAGGAATGTGCTTTTGCAGTGAAGTTCCCTATTGTCCTTGTTCGCTGTATCGCACATACCTGATACACTTCCAGTTGCATAGAGGTTTTTAGACCATGGGAAGCTAGCTCAGGTGTTTGTGAGGGTAGAAGATTATTTAAGACACACATACGCACTCCTCTAAAATCTGAAACATCAGTACCCAGATCTTCAGCACAGAGTGTCTTGCTCTAAATATCTGCTTGTGTTGGTCCACACTACTTGCTAATGTGGTCACGGCCTTAGATCCTTAGAGTTGCTCACTGAGTTATTCACATGTGAACATGTAGTTGCACTGAATATAAGAAACTGACAGGCTTAGTACTGTTTGTGCAGTTGTTTAAAACTACTGAAGCACTTCACTGGGATTCATATAACATATTTGCGTATTTTTCAGATTGATCTAGGAAAACAGCCTGAAGTTAGTAGAAGAGAGCCTGTGTCAGCTGAAGAATGGGCTAAGAATATGGATTCTGAAGGAAGAATTTTAAATGTCGACTACATAAAGCAATTGATATTCAAAGGGGTAACTTGTTTTTCTGAAGTCAGCAAGACCTGTGGCTTGATTCTCAGCTCCTCTTTGTTTCCTTCCCAAACCATGTTTATGTTGTTTTCAGTATACTTGTAATGCTTCATTGCAGGACTTTGAGCATGAGACGGTCAGTATTACTGGAGAAGCTTCATAAAGCATGATTTCATGCTAATCAAATACCTCAGCAGTCTTGCAAACAGACAAGGTGCTCTACAAAGGGAGAGATCGTGTGGTGTCTGGCTTAAGTGAATGAGTTGAAAACACAAAGGCTTATGTGATAAAGAAGCGAAATCAAAGTGCCTTTCAGGAGAATATCAGTGCTTCAGTGTTAGGGTATTGGGTTTATTCTTTTCTTTTTGAGGTTTTTTTTCTTACCTTTCTCCAACAAAAACTTCTCTTCTTTGCCCAGCAGTTTGCCTGGATTTGGCCTTCATCAGAGCAGTCCTAAACATTTTTTCTGATATTTTGGATCGGACTGAGGGTTTTTCCAATATGAATGCGAATTTAGTCTCAGTGATCGAAATTTTGAAAGCTTTGGTTATGTCCCATAGCTGTTCTACATAATGTTACTTTAGTATTTCTTTTTTTTTTTTGTGGGAATCCAGCTGCCTTAATGCATTCTCTGTGTACCTGTTTATGCATGTTTGCAAACATGCCGTCTTGCATTCTTGGAGTGTGAGCAGAAGTAGAGGATGATAACTGATATTATACTTTCTTTAAAGACCTATATATATTAAGTAATGTACCAAGAAGGGGGTAGAGTGGAACTGAGGCCTTTTTCAGTTTCTGTGACTTCTTTAATATACCTGTGCCTGAGGTGCCCAATTAAGGACATTTCTGCAATGAGAATTACTACAATCCTTTTCTTCCAGTAGCCCATTACCTTGTCATTTCTGTTGTCTGTTGCCAGAGGAGTGAGCACTTGGTGTTATTTATGATTCAAGATCCCAATAACTTCCAGTATGTTAAGTGCAGATACTCATTAAAGAAAGAAAAAAAGTTAAAATGCCTCTCTTAAACTGTTTGCCTGTTACTGGAAAAGTTCCAGTTGCTACTTGTTTTTGCAGTGGTTGATGCTATTTGCTTGCCTTAATCTAATGGTAAATGAAGAAATATAGTGAGGAATCAAGCTGACCTTGGACTGGTAAACTGGGGAGTCTGACGGCAGAAGTGCCTTATTTTCATGACTATACTGCAGGGGTTGAAAGAAACTCTTTTGATGAGAGTGGGATATGATTCAGCTAGTATATTTGTCATCTACAAATGATGAGCATTACTTACAAAGATTTCTGACAAGTGGTGTCCTTGAGTGGACACTAGTATTTTTGATTGCTTGGAAGATTCTTCTGCATGTTGGCCATGTCTTGTTAGATGAAAATATTCGTTAAAATTAAATAAATAAATGGAAGTCTAGTCCTCAAGATCAGTTTGTGATGAGACCAGAAGTTTGGCAGTTAAACAGCATGATTAAATATGTTTATATTTATATGTATATATTTAAATTATATATATATTATGTTCATATGTATATATTTAAATATATAAGTTTTAAAGGTACTTCTTTGCATTTTAAAGCTTCTGTGATGCCCAGAAGGTTTTTATTTCCAGCAGTGAAGCAAAAATATAGGAAGAAAAATCTTTTGTAGTTTCTTTTTTATCCTGTGAGGATGAATCCAGTGCTTCTGCAGTTTTCTGTTTAAGCCTATTCTCTTCCTCCTGTTTCCTTCAAGTGTGATACCTAGTTAGCAGATAAGATTTGGCTTCAGCATAAAAATAAGCTTCCTTAAAAGAGAATTTTTATGAGTTTTTACTTAAAGTGTTGTATCACTATAGGGACATTTGCTCACAAAATTGAGATAATCATTTTGTTAATGTTTCATATCCATTTTTCCCTAGGGTCTCTGCCATACTTTAAGAAAAGAGGCATGGAAATTTCTTTTGGGGTATTTTCCTTGGAATAGCACTAAAGAAGAAAGAGCAAATCTACAAAGAAGGAAAACGTGAGTACAGTGGGGGTTTTGTTACAAAATAAATTTAATAGCTGCTTTTTTCTTAAGGCATATAGTGATGTAGAAAGTATTTTGGAAGCTTGAAAGACAGCTGCTAAGGATTGTTGAATGCAAAGAAGTGTGTGAGATGTTCTTAAAAATGATTGTTATACTAAAGTAAAAATATATAAACAAGGGTGGTGTTATTTATGACAAACAACTTGAATGAATGAGTGCTTAAATAAAAAAGGAAGAAATTTAATAATTGAGCATGTTTTGGTTTCAAAATTATCTTTCTTCTGCAGGGATGAATATTTCAGGATGAAACTGCAGTGGAAATCTGTCAGTGAGGAACAGGAAAAACGAAACTCAAGATTAAGAGATTACCGGAGTCTTATAGGTAAATTTAGATTTAGAAACATACCTAAGTGTACAAATTCACACATTTTTACAATTCAATATGAAGTTGAAAAAATTAACCCTTTGAGTAACCTACATGAATTGCTAAGAACATGTTGCTGTTTTCAGAGGTGTCTAAACTTTCTTATATACTCAATACTGAAACTCTCTTAACCACAGTAATTCAGAGCTTTATGTGTTAGTGTTACAGAGCGGCTGGATTTTTTAACTTCCTTAAAATACCAAAAGGCTCTTTATTTCATTATGTAATTTCACTGGGAGTGTCATTAAAATAATGACGTACAATAAAAATGTGAAAATGTGTTCTGTTTATATATTTTAAAATTTCTTACAGTGATTTGTATGTGGGCATTCTGACTTGAGGGTGTTTATACCTACTTTCAAAAATTTCATCAAATTCTGCTGACTATTAGCAGTTTGTATCCTTTGTATCCTGTATCTTTGGTAGTAAGATTTGGGCACCAATGTTTGGGATTGCTAAAGTTATTTCAGGAGAATGGATAAGATTTTTGTGTTATTCTGAGATATGGACTAAATTTATTTCAGCCAGTTATTCAACAGGCAAACTGAAAGGTTTAAGAAAGTTTAATCTTAGTAGGTTAGTAAACTTCCTTTTTAGAGAGTATGTGTGTTAACAGGAAAAAAAAATACTCGGAGTTCAGAAGAGGGTGAAGTTTTGTTTCTGTTGAAGCAGTTCTGTTCCTTTTTAAGTGTTTAAAATGTAAATGTCAGTATTAGTTTATGTTGTGAATAGGTCCAAAATTACAAAACACTCCTTTTATTGAAGTGCACTCAAAATTTTAATTATTTCAATACACCAATCTTGAATTTCACATTATTAAAGAGTATGTGTGTGCTTGGTATATTTGAGGCATGAAAACTGACTGTTGAAACAGGCAGTTTCAGCTCACTATGAGTTACAGGAACTTGTTAAACTGAATTTATAAGCATGCTGCTCTGAACTACACCGGTGTCTTTGAGCTGATCATGTGGTAACTCCCCTACTGTGGCTTATGCTGCATTGCATAAGTATTCATAAACAGCATTGCATAGCTGACTCACATAAAATTGTTCTTAATCCTGTAAATGTTAAAACATTTTCACTGAATTTTAATATAAGCAGGAATTTTTCCTTAAGAAGTATTAACAAAAAAAGGCAAAAAGCTTTGAAATCTGTCTATAAGCAAATCCTTTTATTGAAGGCAGGAAGGATTTTCTTTCTTTTAAAATATTATTTATTTTGAAATGATACTCAGTTATGCAGTTGTCTTAAACACTTCAAAGCTTTGCAAGAGTATTTGAGGAAAAAAGCAGCTTAAACAGTCTGAGTTCATTTGATGCTGGCTTTGTAGAACTTGTCTTGAAAATGTTTTTAAATCTGGACTGTTTTCTTAGAAAAAGATGTAAACAGGACAGATAGAACAAATAAATTCTACGAAGGTGAAGATAACCCAGGATTGATTTTACTTCATGATATTTTGATGACCTATTGCATGTATGACTTTGACTTAGGTAAGTTGTGTTCCTTTGAATGTAAAAGCCTTTTAAATTTCAGATATGTGGCTTTGCTTGTGTTAAAGCCTGTTAATACAACTGAACGTATTGATTACAATGCTTTTTGTAAATGTCAAGATTTATATTTTAATAATGTAGATAACTTTGTTCACTTTCTCATCCTATTTCTTCCTGTCTTCTATCTGATGATTATCATAGGCATCTGAATTCATCAGCTGAGGTGGGATTGGGAATGAAATGGCACTTTGTCTTCAGCATAGCCTTACTGTTGTGGTTTTGATGGGTTTTTTGTTGTTGTTGGGTATGTTTGGGTTTGGGGGTGGTTGGTTGTTTTTTTTTCTTTAGATTTTTTTCAGAGTATTAAATGGGTTTGGGTCTTTAGAACTTGAGTGTAATATCCATTTTTAAGAGTGATATATCAATAAAAATGATAAACCAGCTGCCACTGCTGTAATTAAAGTTCAGCATGCTGAACCAGCTGTTTGTAAACATGAGTGTTCTTATGAATACTTTAAAAGCTGGTTCTTGAGAAGTACACTTAACAGTCTGTCAAAAATTACGCTTTAGCATATGCATCTGTTGCAGAAGGAAGAGCATATAATGTCTTGTGTTAATCACAGTGTATATGAGATGTCTAAGCCTTTGCTTTTTTTAATTGTCTTGGAAGAGAAGGAGGGAAAAGATAATTCTAGCTGGTTCCTCCCTTCACCCCTGGCATGACATTTGGCTGTTGTGTACTTGGGTTGGTTATTTTTTTAATTTAGTCTCAGAAAAGTGTTGGGATTCTAAAAGCCCACTTGGTGCCAGATTTTGAAGGCAAAAAGTAGGAATGAATCTTTAATCACCGGTAAACTTGCTGCAGAGTTGTAGTACTTGCCAGCTTTTGTTCTTTGTCAAGTCTGTGGAGAGACTTGATCTTTGGCTTGAAAAACGAGGGAAAACCTAAAATTGATAGAGACTTAAACATGTAGGTCCACTTCACGTGTTTCCACCTTCAATCGTCATTAATGCACAGTGACATATAAGTGAAGTTAAAGCACATTCACCACCCACTCTATTAAAAGCATTGTTTAGATGGCTTAAATGTATGGAGTTGGTAAGTCTTCTGTTTTATATTAAAGCAAGAATAATGAAAATATAGTACATTTGATATTGTATCTGTGCAAGGCCTCTATGCTACATTGGTACAATACTGCTCTTAATCCTTTGTCAGCAGCTGTGTAGAGGTCTGAAAAATGCCACAAAATTCTGGATAGGGGAGGGGACAGAACAGCTGTTAATACAACATTTTTCTGAATGAATTCCTCAAGTCTGCATTAATGAAACTGATTTTATTCTTTAAGAGACTTTTAAACTGTCTTGAACAGTTTCTCTGCATTCATTTTAAATTGACTATAGTATTAAATGTGTAGGGAATAATTTTTTTTCTTTTGACCTTTTAAAAAATTACCTTTTTTCTGTTCCTTGTTCTGATAAGAAACAGGTTTCGTATTTTCAGTCATTGACTCCAATCCTCTTTTTCAGTTACTCGGTTACAGTTACATCATTAAGAAATGAAATCAGCCAAGCTTGAGTCTGAGAAATGTCATGTTGAACCAATAACTGATGATAGACATACACATAAATCATGTTCTCCCTTACTTAGTGAGGTAGATAGGCTGATTTGAGCATCTGTGGCAAGATAGTTGGAAGAGTTGGGAAGAAGGGCTCTAAAAATCCTTGTCCTCTTCTTAATTGGGCTGTTAATTACAAATAAGGAAACTGGAAGAAGCACTAGAGAGCTATAAACTCTTGAAAATGGTTTGTATACCACTAAATTTTCTAGCTATTTGTAAAAATGATATACTCTAAAAATGGCTACTTTATTCTCCAGTTGAATGTAAGCTTTTCTTATAAGGCATATGAACTTTTTCACCACTTCTGGGCACAGAAACCTAGGCAGTTTCCTGAATCAGGTCTAGATAATGTGTTTCTTTCATGCTTCTCATAAGCAATACTTTGTTGTTAATAGCCTTCTGTAGTTTGATAGGTAGTAGTCTTTGTTGTTGTTGGCTGCTTGGTTACATAGGTGGTCTTAGTCTTTAAAGTATTTAAAATACTATCCAAGCAGAACAGTCCCTACTTCCCTAAATCCTTAAAGCATATTCAGTGCCAGAAAAAAGAAATGTTAAGTGTGAAATTTTATTTGTAAAAGCTATTGCACCATATGTTTTCCTGGGATTGAATCTCAACATCTCTTCTTCAAATCTATTTGAAAAGAAAATCTTCAGTTGGCAAGGGGGGAGTGGGAAGACATTAAAAGATTTTAAAGTATGGAAGAAAGCAACCACTTACAGGTGGAGAGGAAAATAAATTTGAGTCTGTGTTTGTGATAGTGCAAGTTTATATATTTGATGATTTAAAAAATATCAATATATGCTTTTGAGGTCTAAACTGGAATTTTTTTTACTAAAAATTTATTCTGGTGCCAGCTCAGTTTGCATGTATTTTAACAACTACAAAACCAACACATTTGTTTTATGTTCTTTTTAGGCTGGCAGAAACTGCTGTTAAATCTTGTTAGATCTGCTGGATATTGGTTATTATTAACACAAAAATGCCTTTACTGGTGGTTGAGATGGAAAACGATAGTATCTGCACAAACTTTGAATGCAAACATTTGTTTCACTCAGTCATTCAACACACTTGAAGTACTGTGTAACCTCTGAGTTAAAATTCCTATTTGACTTTTTTTTTCCCCTTTTTCTCTATCAAGGTTATGTCCAAGGAATGAGTGACTTGCTTTCACCTCTCTTGTATGTTATGGAGAATGAAGTAGATGCCTTTTGGTGCTTTGTATCATACATGGATCAAATGGTAAAATAAGGCTTTTTTAGCCCATGTAAACAGATAAGATATGGATAACATTTGAGATTAATTTATAAATTTTATCGTGTTTTTTTAATTCTTTTCAAGCAATCATGTTTGAAGTCAATATGTTTTTTCTGATTGATACAGGTTCTGGTGGGTTTGTGATACTACTACTGTGCAGTACAGACAAATTCAGCTTTTTGGAGATTCTGAAGTAACTTAGAGCCATCACAGACAAATCTAAATTAATTGAGAGTCCTCTAGCAGGATTTTGTTCGTGATAATGGTTCCCTGTCATACTTACCTTCTGGCATTTTTTAAATGCAATTTAGACTTTCCACAAATTAAAGCTTTTATGAATTGTGCATGTGGCAAAACAAAGTGACAAGTATGAGAATAAAAACAAAGTTGTCATCTTGCTTTGAGTGCAGTGGTGCTGCTTGGAGGTACAGAGCACAGGCTGATTAAAAATATCATGTATTACATACATACAAACACAGTTCACTGCTTTAACTAAACTTTCAGTAAAAGGCAGACATTTCATTAGATAGATGTACAGTTAAATATCCATCCATATGTTAGATACCTAAAAGGATGAGAACCACTGTTGCAATAACAGAACTTTTTTAAAAATTAAAAATAGCTGTAAATCTCAAAATTATAATTGAGTTAATAAAAATGACAGTGCTAATATTTTATTCCATCTAGCATCAGAATTTTGAAGAACAGATGCAGGGTATGAAGACACAACTAATTCAGCTGAGTACTTTGCTTCGTTTACTAGACAGTGGATTTTGCAGTTATTTAGGTAGGTGTATTATTCATGCACAGTAACTAAAAGAACTTGCTGCATTCTGTGTGCATTGATATCCTTATGAGTCTTTAAACTTAATTTGTAATTAGTAATGCCTGAAAGATTTCAATAATTTCTCTATGCCTATTAAAAAGCAGGGTCATTTTGTTGCTGATTTTAAATATATGCCATCCTCTGGCAAATACCTTTGATTCTGAAAAGGTGCTACCATCTTAAAAATCAATGGTATGACTGTGTAGCTATAAAGTGTGGGTTGTTGTTCCCCTCACCCCTGTTGTCTTAACCAAGTTTGTTGTTTATGAAATGTAACACTCTTATTCCTAGAATCTCAAGACTCAGGCTACCTTTATTTTTGCTTCCGATGGCTTCTTATCAGATTTAAAAGGGAATTTAGCTTTCAAGATATTCTTCGACTCTGGGAGGTAAGAAGACATTTCATCACACAAACTCCAACAGTCTTTGGACTTTAGAACAAAAAGCATGGATCTTTCTGCAAAGTGATTAATACTCTAATAGGGTTTTTTTAAACTCATTCAGTGCAGTGAGGTGAGGACACATTAGCATGTGTTATGTCTTTATAGCCAAAACAACAACTTGGGAAGTTAATGAAAAAATACTTAAAAGAGTTGGTGGGGATAAACTGGCTTTTTCAAAAAGCTTTGTACAGGATCCTTCAGATGAGGCTGTTAAGTGAAAGTATTAAGTAGAGAGTATCAGTTAACTTTTAACAGAAAAGAGCTTATCCTAGAAGAAATAGCATTTGTCTGTGTGCCTGATCAATTCCTTGATGTTGGTAGTACTTTATAGATTAAGTGGAATGGAGCACTGGCAGGGTAGTTTTTGTGTTAGCCAAAACCATAAAGAGGATGATGTCAGAAGATCTAGTTAATTTTGATGGTGAGGTGTGGGACAGGACTCAATCGCAGCAGTGAGGCCTCATGATGCCAAATAACATAACGTAAAACATCAAAATATGAAGGTTCTGATAAATCCAGGTTAATGAGATCTTTTTGATTTGGGTGATTTGGGGATTAGATGGAGTAATTAAGATGAACTCAAGTTTTTGTTGAACACTTTAATTCTTTGATTCAAGAAGGCTGAGAGATGTGTCAACAGTACAGGTTTATTCTCTAAGATGCATTTAACAACAGCACAGTATCCACTGAAAACTCCCAAACGAGGATAAATGTCCAGATGAATAGAAGGAGTATTTTCTAGGAGATAACATTATGTATAGTGCTGGGGAACAGAAAAGTAATGGAAAGAACGGGACTGAGATGCATAAAATTTCTACTGTAATGAAAAATAATGCTGTTACTGGTATAATGAAAATTAATGTTGATGCTTTTATTCACTTTTTCCACTAATGAAAAAGGAGTCGCATAAAGAGGAGGACCAGTATGTAAAACTGTCTAAAGTATTTTTTAGCTTTTTATCATCAGTTGGTGGAATTTGCTATTGCAGTGTATTGAGGTGATATTTTAACTGAAGAAGACTAAAAAGTTTATGAATAACCGTCATAAATAAGGGAACCAAAATGTATAAAACCAAAACAATTCTCTTATTCCAAGGTATAAATGATAATGATTTTGTAAGGGAAAAAAATCACCCATTTCGTTTTCCTCCCTTAGTGTTGTGTTGTGTTCTCAGTATTTTTTAAAGACTAATTTTTCTTTTTAAATTGATGACAACAATATTTTTATTTATATAGTCCCAAGATAGCATGGTTTTTATCATCTCTGCTTTAATGTGTATATGTGCGTGCATACAGAAAAGTAACACTGTATTTCTAACTCTTAAGTATATTTTTTCTGTCTTAGGAAGACAATGGAAACCTATTGATATATGATAGTCTTACAGGTTCCTTCTAGCACATCATAATGTATGTTTATTGCCCGTATTCAATTTTTTTGCAAGGAGATATGGAATGGAAAAGGGGATATCCTGTTTTCCTTTTTAAAATTAAGGCCCTATGTTATTATATGAAAGCCAGTGTCACCTTTGTCACAGTTGAGGTCCAGTTTACAACATTGTCAGCTTTTGTTTTCTTTTTCTCCTGTTCATAGCTATGCAGTTTCATTGGCATCAGTGGAGTGTATATGTGGGATTTACAAAGGCAAGTTGTAGGCACAGGAGACTGTTTTCCCAGTTGTAGACAGTAGAGAGAAAGGAACTGCTTTCAGGGTATTTCAGTCTGAGCAAAAATTGCACTCTGACCAAAATTCATCTGCTGTGTAATAGCACGTGAATTGAGGGAAGTGATGTTACCCTGTGATGTATTCACTTGCAGAGGGTGGAAGGGGAGGTGCCATCTGAGATTCCAGTCCTGAGTTCTAGGACTTCTGGAACTTTTTCTTTCTAATCTATGAATTTCAGCGTGCTCTTTTGGATCTCCATTTCTGTCCTCTGAATTGCCTGAACCATTAAGGTAGCAACAGATACTTTTTCCTTGTTCCCACTGGCTTCATGACTTCCGGTGTTTCAAGAAAAGGAATGAAGAAGATTCTTCACTAGTCTGGTTATTAAACATTCACTTTAGTGATGGGAGATACCAATCCTCATCAGCTGGAGGCTAAAACCAAGCCCTTCCACTTACTGAGCAAGAGCCATAATAATCAAATTGTGGTAGAAAATGTGGGTGGTTATGGTACAGCAGTGTGTGCGAGGCAGTGCATGTGCTAGAGGGGTGGCATTCTACCTTCAGTGGATAAGTTGAGACAAATGATGTGATTACAGTTATTTGCAATGCTGTCCTTTCCACAGAAATATGAATGCAGGTTAAACTGTTCTGTCTGTGGGTGGGATTATTTGCAGTACATTTTAGCGCGCTCAAACTCAAGCCAGATGGACAGCATACTGAGCCACTGCTTAGAGGTCCCAAAACCGAGAGTAGTTCAGTCCCTCCTTCACACTGGAGGGACAGACAGTATTACCTGGTAATTTCAGCCAGTTTTTAATCTTTCCTTTGCACAGTGAGCCATTTCATTCTCAAGATGGTGTAGGAAGACTGGGTAGAAAAGAATCCCAGAAGAAAAAGCCTGTAACAAAATTTCACAGCTAGCTTACACTTACTTCCAGGGCTATGCTAGTACAACTCACATAGTATAAAACCAGAATGACATAGTGATAAGTTACATATATGCTAGTATTGGTTACAAATATTCATGGACGCTGAGGTAGTATAAGAACAAATGAGTCCTTACTTGCATAGCTTTATCAGAAAGAAATAGGAGGAAAAGAGTTATCGCACTTAAGTGGTATGTTTTTATATTCTTAATTTAAATGCTGGTTTTCTTTAATCCTTTTCCAAGCACTTCGTGATGCTGCTTTTACATACATAAGCTTAAGTGCATGCTCTGCTCCAGACGTTGAAAGGTGTGTCAAAAATGGTAACAAGTAGTATGGATTTTTTTGCAGCTGGTATTAGCAGCTGGTGACAGCTGCTGATTTTCCTCAGAGAGGAGAGAATGTGTGTAAACATCCTTGTTGGTATTTCTGGGGTTTTTTTCCACTCTTGAAGCCAGATCCAGCTTCCACTGAAGTTACAGCTTGAAGCAAATACTACTTAAATTAGATACTCCAGTATGATAGCATTAAATTGTAGATATGAAAGTTAAATATTCTGTTAATGCCTGTAAAAAGGCAATCTATGTTATGGTTCAATTTCCCCTGTATCCTGCATTATCATGTTTCCTCATCTATGTTTTGGTGTAGATCTTTCTTTTCAGAGGAAAAGCATGAGCATTTCAGAAGTGGTTTTCCTATTTTAACAGGTCATGTGGACAGAATTGCCTTGCCAGAATTTTCATCTTCTCCTTTGCTGTGCTATCTTAGAATCTGAGAAACAACAAATAATGGACAAACACTATGGCTTTAATGAAATATTAAAGGTACTGAATTCTTATGCATTATTTAAATACTAACTAACGTTTTTGAGTTAATGCAATATGATTGTATTTCATGTTGGGGGGGGTGAGGAAAAGGTGTGTGCTGTCTTGTGAAGGGTTAAATATGAACTGAATGTCCTCTGTGCTTTCAAAATGGTTTATTTGGTGTCTGTGTTTAGTGATAATATCATTATCCAACTACTGCTTAATATGTTTAATCTTCATTTCTGCTTTTTCTTCTGTAATCTTACTTGTTATCTCTTTGAAAATGTGAGCGGGGAGTACCTAGGAGGGCTAGGTAGTTTGTCACATTTAGAAGTACCATGGATTCCTCTTGCAGATATTGGGTACTGGTGAAAGCCAGCTGTTGCATACTACATCTTTAGTACCCATTTGTCAAAGCAAGTAAGAGTATGTTTAGCACTTAATAGCTTAAGGGTCAAGCTTATAAGGCGGTACTTATTAGCAGCGCAGTACAGTATTTTACAATAAAGTGCATTTACCATTTATCACACTTAGTATTCTTTGCGAATATATTTTCAGCATATCAATGAACTGTCTATGAAAATTGATGTGGAATATATACTCTGCAAAGCAGAAGCAATTTCTATGCAGATGATGAATTGCAAGGTAAAGATATTTTGAATATATCTACTGTGAGCATTTATAGACAGAAAAAGTATGCAGGTGGCTGTAATTGTACATGTATGACTTGTGAAATAGTTAACTAAATGCCTGGCTATGATAAAGGATGTGCTGTATCTAGAGAGCACCTATTTTCTAAAGGTCTATAAGCAAGAGTGATTAATTTTAAAGGGTAATATTGTTCACTGGGGGAAAGCTGGATTGTGCCTTTTGGTCATGATTTCTTAACTCTTAAAAAATAACCTCAGTACAAGTAATTTGGTGTTCAGTGTGCTTGAGAAAGATGAGGTGAAAGGGGCACTGCACTGAAAGCATACTGGACTTAGTAGGCAGAAACTGATGGTTCACTCAATAAAACTAATTTCAGTAGCACGAAGTGTAATTGTAGTAGTTGTTTAGACTTTTATTTTTGTAATGAGAATTATATTGTCAATCAGGAATTGAATCCTGAGCCTGTCCTTTCTGCCATCTTTTTGAAAAGCAGATACAGAAAATAGTAACTTTAATGGAATTTATGCTGAGAGAGATGCTTTCAGTACAGCTAAATTCAAATGAAAAATTACTTGCAGGGATGGGGGGGGAAGGTCAGTTCATGATGGGGATGGGACATGGATGACCTTCTTGTTGACTTGCCATTTAATTACAGTGATTTTTAATGTTTCTGTTTTTACCTTCCTCCTTTTTAGGAATTGCCTCAAGCAGTTAGTGAGATCCTGGGGATAGAAAGCAGTTCTGTAACACCAGATTCAGATACTGGAGAGGATGAAAGTGGAGCTGTGTTGAGTTGTCCTACGTCATTATACCAGAGTATCTCAACACCTGTAACTGCTGCCAATGGAACGAGAGACAGCACTCAACAGATGTCTGAAACGCAGAGCTTGACACCTGCGTAATTACAGTCAGTTAAATTGAAGAAAGACTTTTACTGAGCACGTTTTTTTCAAGCACTTGAGAGATGGATATTTAAATTCGGTGTTGATTAAGCTTTAAGGTTGGAAAGAAAATCTGTACTGTAATGCTCTTGCATTAAAGCTTTACAACATGACTCAACTATTTTTGTAGTTTCTTCTACCAAAATAGCCTTTTGTTTTCAATAACATTCCTTAATATTTTTGTAGCCAAGTGCATTTTCTTTTTGCTGGTGAACTGGAAATGGATGGTGATTAAGAATGAATTTGAAAACTATGCAGTGCTGAGCTTTCACACATATCGATCTAAGACAGTGTGGAGCTCTTTGATTTGAGCAAATTCATCACGGGCCAGCTGAAGCTGCTGTACAAAATTTTCAAGCTGAAGAGATGCTGATATGTTAAAGAAGGATTGCTTTGTAAATGAATGGGTTTCCCTATCTCAAATGTTTACAAAAATACTTCTAAGTATTTGTTGCTGGTTGAATGTAGATTTGAAATGGACATTTATACTTACACAGTTTAATGTCCAAATACTGAATTTTGTGTAACTGGGAGCGGATGAACAGTATATTTTTACATTAACATAACCTTCACTTTATATATGTATATTTACACACATACACACACTATACACACAAATGTTTGTGAATACTGAAAAGGATATTAATATTTTCAATATCTGAATAAATTTGACTGTTCATTCATATGAATCAGTTTGACCAAATTAATGCACAGCTCCAACTTGGGCTCTTTTTCAAAGCTTTTCTAACAGAAGGTAACTTTCATGTGAATATATTCAGTCCTACACTTGAGGTAATTTTGCAATTGATTTCTTGCAAACTTTACTAATGTTTATCTTTGCTAATATATAACAGATCAATTAACTACTTACACTGTTTTTATGCCAAGATTATTTGGAGAGCTAATAAGCAGGTTATAAAAAACAAAACAAAACAAACCACAAACCAAAACAGTAATCACAATTAATTTCAATGCATTTTTTTGTATACGTAAAAGGCAGTGTGAATTTATTCCATGCCATGCTGATGTCCTTGACGTTATGTGAAATTTAACATAACTGATTCAGTGTATTCATTATTTGGTAACTATTGTACATATATAAAATAAAAATCAAAGCTGATTTAGTGTTTTTAATTAAATCATATTTAGAGAAAAAAGTCTAGTTGTCTGGTTGTTGATGTAAGAACATAAGATAGAGGGGATAACTAACAATGGTTAGTTCCTTGGATGTAATATATTTTGTGAGTAATAAAGAGCACAGGGAATACTCGTTTATTACAGAATGGAACATGCTTTTCATCTTTAGGCTGTTGATGCGTGGCATATGGCAGAGCTTTCTTTTCTTCTGGAGCAGTTTACTTTTACAAATATTATTTGTACCATCTAAAGCAAATACAAGTAATATAAAAAGGCTTTAACAGATAAATCAAGTTGTTACAATAATTTGAGACCCGATTAAACTTCTCTCACCAGTTATAAACAAACACTGGAGAGCAGAATCAGTATAGAATTTGTTTTTAATATTGTCAATGTGTTGTTATCTTTTATCAGTTAATAAGAGTTGTCTTATGCGGTGAAAGTCTGCAGCTCAGCGTATCTCCTAGCCTTTCATTTCCTGTCCAGGAAATTACTGTAAAGCATCATGCTTTTTTTCACTACTGAGCATTGTGCTTCTTGGCAGTTCATTTAACGTGGCATAGAATACATAAAGGCATTAGAACTTAGATAATCAACACTTTGGTTCAGAGATAGTAAGCAAGTTAGTTTCAGTATTTTTGGAGCACCTAGTTCACTTAGAAGTGTACTTGCAAAATGTTTTTGTCAAAAAATTATGTTAAATTGAAACTATGGAAGTGGGGAGATGTCTAAAACTGATAAATGCAATGGGCAAGTCTATCAATTGACTATGCATGGTTCTGAGTTATTCAGGATATGGAGCCACAAAAAATTATATATAACATTAAGATTTTGAAGAAAATCATAATTGACTGAACATGAATATTCAAATGCTTAACATATTTAAGTGTAATTCTGTCATTTCTTAGAATTACAGCTATGGCTGCTGAGAAATGCTACCAGACACTAAAGTTTGCCTTTCCTTTTTGGGTATAATTGTTTATCTTTGCCTTTGTATTAAGCATTCAGATGTCAAGGATGAGAAGGCTGCTCCTGAATTAAGAGAGCAGCTGCTGTGGAAGGCTTGGAGCAGGTAGGCTTGTTCTGCTTGCCAACAATAAGATCAAATGCCCTTTGCAGCATTCTTTATCTGTAGTTTCCTTCCCGCTGACAGGCAGCCTTGCAGAGTTGCAATCAAGAGGAACCTCACCCTCCACCAAACTTCCTGATTGTTTGGGATGGATTTAGTCTAAGCTGAGACTACAAATGGGGAGAGGCCTTAATCGGTATCACGATGGTTGTAAATATGCCATGGGTTGGATGTTCTGGATGTGTAATTAGTATTTCTTTTGTATGTGAATGATTTAGGTTGCTTAGAGTTAGCAAATATGAATTATCTGAATGTATCTTTGGTTAGAGTTGTCAGGCTATAAAAGAGGCAATACTTTAGTTCCTGTAAGACTGTTTGGTTGTGTGTTTGGTTTTTTGGTTTTTTTTTAATATTTGACTTAAAGATAATTATCTTTTGGGGGTGAGCATTTAAAACCTCATACTTCTCAATCATAGCAGTATTCTAGTGTTAGTATGTTCCACAGTAAAAATGACATTTATGTCACTCTCCATTTCTTTTATTCTTCCTGTTCGGGCAATTATTTTGTTTGTTTTGAAAGTGCATTCTTGAGGACTTTTTCTTCCATTTGAGGGCAAGAGGATAGCTTACAAAAAGGAGAATCAGCTGAAGCTTCTTGGAAGTTTGGACCAATATGAATGTTTCCAGAATGATTTTCATACTGAGAGGTTAAAAAAGACAGTAAAAGGATGATGCTACATTTAATCGCCCATAGTAATCACTTAATGCTTCAGCTGTACTGACATTTAGAAAATGTGTGCCTGCATCTATAATGACTGTGTTTGCATCCAGTGAACACAGTAGCCTTCCAACCCAGGTCAGGTGTGGAGGTTTTGTATTCATTGTTGTGGGTAATCTTATTAAAGAATATAAAGGCTACATATATGTTCTAACAGGTCCTGATTGCTTTAAGATGTGGAATTACTTGTGATGTTGATTGTATTAGCAACATTTTTATTTTGATCTGTAGTTTAATTAAAATTAAGGTGTTGGTGTTCAGTGAGCCCAGTTTTGCCACTAACAAGTTTTTTCTTAAAACATTTGCAGTTTTCTAGTGGACAAAATTAAGATGCTGATGGTGCCTCTTCAATTATTCTCTTTAGATTTTCCTCACATCTCTAAAATTCTTTAGCCCCAGTCAGCCAAAGCAGGGAGGAGTCAGAGTGCTCACTACTTTCAAATATATTCCTGAGCACCCAATCAAGACTCCACTGCTGAAACTTTTCAGAAAGCCATAAAAGGTATCCTAGCTTTCACTTTTTGAGATAATGCTTTAGTTCAAAATAAGTGAGACGCTTTTCTCTCACTTTTCTAAATAATTTTGTGTTACAGGACTCTAGCCTAATTTGAAAAAAGATTTTATTGTAAATGGTTTGGCATTCAGAATTTGGACTGAACAAGATTTAGTACCACTGGCATGATTCATGCATCCTAGTGTGATGCAGATGAAGCCTTACCAAGTTTGGGATTGAATTTCTGTAGGTTAAATCTATGTTCTCCTCAAACTGTCCCTTGTTAGACAACAGAAATGACAATGCTGTAGATGTAAATTTTTAAAGTGCACCCGCCATTTGATTCACGTTACAAATGAGATTAGAAAAAAAGTAATTTAAGTGGGCTGCGTGGAGGAGTAATAATTTGTTTTAGGAAATGTTCCTCAGTCAGTATTCCTGTATAGATGTGACTTAAGACTGAAGTTTGGTCCATGGGCAGTAGCAAAGTGGCTGGTAACCTGATTTTTGTCTGTGGCTGGCTAAATATCTTAAAATTTATTTTTCAAATCTCTTGACTGTTTTCTGAACATTTCTAGTCAGTGGCTGGTGCCATCTCTGTGTGGAAGAACTGTGGCAGAGACATCAGTGCTTGTTCTAATGAAATTCCATGAGCTGCTAGCTCAATAATTGACATGACTATATAAGCATTGATAAGGTGATGAGACACAGATACATAACTGAGCACTTAGCAGACAGATTTCATATATGTGTGCTATTATATTTGATTTAAAGATGCTTTCAAATGGTTTTTTATGGTGTTAAAAGATGAGTTGTGTTTCATGTTTAGTAGGACTTGAAAATGTCTGCTATTCAATTAAGTAATGTTATTGCAGTGCAGACCTTGTATAAATTAAGCTTGAATTTAATTTTTCATTCAAGTGGGGATTTTAATCTTAAACATTTTTTAGAGGATGTGTGCTATTTTTTCATGTTAAATAGCTATATCTTTGGCACAAATTGAAGTTTCTGATAAATTGCAAACAATGCATTGTAGGATGTCACTTTTTGCCTCATCCAGAATGAATTTCACAACTGAATCAAACATATTTCAAACTGTCTGTGTAATTCAAATAAATGAAGTCTTCTAGATGGGTTATGTTTTAAAGGAATTCAATTATAGTGTGTATTTTGATTTATTCAGGCTACGTGTACCCTATCTTAACATTAGTTCTTTGACTGTTTCTACATGTGTATCTTGTTATTAACCAACTAACCTCAGAGCCCCATTGTGTAGAGCTTAAATTTTTGCCCAGGCTAGCAGTTCAGCAGATGGCAGTCACTTGTTTCCTCTCTGTGTATTGTGGTTGACCCTGGCCAGCAGCCAAGCACCCACCCAGCCCCTCGCCCACTCCCCTCTCCCATGGGATGGGGAGAAAACAGAAGGAAGGCAAGAAGGCTCATGGATTGAGACAATGCAGTTTAACAGGGAAAGCAAATGCTGCTCCCGCAAGCAAAGCACAAAGGATTTCATTCGCACTGCTCATCAGCAGGCAGTGTCCAGGCACTTCCTGAAAAGTAAGGCCTCAGCACAGGTTCCTCAGAAAGATAAACACTATGACCATGGATGTCCCTGATTCCCCTCCTTTCCCTGACT